TGAGACAGGAGAATTGCTTGAACCAGGGAGGTGGAGGTTGCAGTGAGCCAAGATCATGTTACTGCACTCCAGCCTGGGCAACAGAGTGAGACCCTGTCTCAAAAAACAAAACAAAGTCAGACACGTTGGCTCACCCACCTGACCTTGTGATCCACCCATCTCGGCTTCCCAAAGTGCCTGTAATCCCAGCACTTTGGGAGGCCGAGTTGGGTGGATCACAAGGTCAAGAGTTCAAGACCAGCTTGGCCAATGTGGTGAAACCTCATCTCTACTAAAAATACAAAAATTAACTGGGCATGGTAGTGGGTGCCTGTAGTCCCAGCTACTTGAGAAGTTGAGGCAGGAGAATCGCTTGAACCCAGGAGGAGAAGGTTGCAGCAAGCTGAGATCACACCACTGCACCCTAGCCTGGGTAGCAGAGGGAGACTCTGTCTCCAACAAAAACAAAAAACAAAACAAAATAAAAAGTTAAATATAAGGCCGGGCGCGGTGGCTCACACCTATAATCCCAGCACTTTGGGAGGCTGAGGCAGGTGGATCACGAGGTCAAGAGATCGAGACCATCCTGGTCAACATGGGGAAACCCCGTCTCTACTAAAAATACAAAAATTAACTGGGCATGGTGGCGCGTGCCTGTAGTCCCAGCTACTCGGGAGGCTGAGGCAGGAGAATTGCTTGAACCCAGGAGGCGGAGGTTTCGGTGAGCCGAGATCGTGCCACTGCACTCCAGCGTGGGTAACAAGAGCGAAACTCCATGTCAAAAAAAAAAAAAAAAAAAAAGTTAAACATAGAGTTACCATATGACCCAGCAATTTACTCTATACCCAAGAGAACTGAAAAACACATGTCCACAAAAAAGTTGTAATGAATGCACATGGCAGCATTATTCATATCAGCCAAAAGTAGAATCAACCTAAATATCAGCAATTGATGAATGAAGTGGATTAATATAATGGAATATTATTCAGCCTTAAAAAGTAATATAGTACAAACACATGTATAACATGGATGAACTTTGAAAACATATAAGTGAAAGAAGCCAGTCCCAAAGGTTTCATTTAAATGAAATGTCCAGACGAGGAAATTCATAGAGACAAAAAGTAGATTAGTTGTTGCCAGGGGTGAGGGGAAAAGGGAAGTGATTGCTAATGGGAATAGGGTGATAAACATGTTCTATACTTAATTTATGTTGATGGTTGCAAAAATCCGAATACACTAATGCCATGGATTGTATACTTTAAGTGGGTTAATTTTATGTATTGAAATATTTCAATAAACACTTTAAAAGATGAGGTACAAAAGTTTATCTTGCCGGGCACGGTGGCTCAAGCCTGTAATCCCAGCACTTTGGGAGGCCGAGGCGGGTGGATCACGAGGTCAAGAGATCGAGACCATCCTGGTCAACATGGTGAAACCCCGTCTCTACTAAAAATACAAAAAATCAGCTGGGCATGGTGGCGTGTGCCTGTAATCCCAGCTACTCAGGAGGCTGAGGCAGGAGAATTGCCTGAACCCAGGAGGCGGAGGTTGCGGTGAGCCGAGATCGCGCCATTGCACTCCAGCCTGGGTAACAAGAGCGAAACTCCGTCTCAAAAAATAAATAAATAAATAAATAAATAAAAAAAAAAAAAATTGGACTTGCCACAGTGTCCTATGAGGTGTTAATTATTAACTATTTTTTTTCTTTTGAGATGGAGTTTCACTCTTGTTGGCCAGGCTGGAGTGCTATGGTGCGATCTGAGCTCACTGAAACCTCTGCCTCCTGGGTTCAAGTGATTCTCCTGTCTCAGCCTCCTGAGTAGCTGGGATTACAGGTGCCTGCCACCATGCCCGGCTAATTTTGTATTTTTAGTAGAGACAGGGTTTCTCCATGATGGTCAGGCTGGTCTCAAACTCCCGACTGCCGGTGATCCTCCTGCCTTGGCCTCCCAAAATGCTGGGATTACATGTGTGAACCATCATGGCCAGCCACTGTTTTTCTTTTTTTTTGAGACGAAGTCTTGCTCTGTCTCCCAGGCTGAAATGCAGTATTGCTATCACAGCTCACTGCAGCCTTGAACTCCTGGGTTCAAGCGATCATCCTGTCTTAGCCTCCCAAGCAGCTGGAACTATAGGTGTGTACCACCAGGCCCAGCTAATTTTTTAATTGTTGGCCAGGCACGGTGGCTCACGCCCGTAATCCCAGCACTCTGGAAGGCCAAGGCAGGCAGATCACCTGAGGTTGGGAGTTCAAGACCAGCCTGACCAACATGGTGAAACCCCGTCTTGTAAAAAAAAAAAAATTTTTTTAAATTGTTTGTAGAGATGGGGGTCTCACTGTGTGTGGCCGTTAACTATTTTTTTTCTCTTTTTGAGACATAGTCTTGATGTTGCCCAGGCTGGCGTGCAATGGCGCCATCTTGGCTCACTGCAACCAATTACAGGTGGTGAGCCACTATACCTGGCCATTTTTTAGAAAAATGTGATATTATTAACATTATACTTTCACAATGTGGAGCAGTATAAAAATATTGGCTGGGTGCAGTGGCTCACAGGCCAGGCACAGTGGCTCACACCTGTAATCCCAGCACTTTGGGAGGCTGAGGTGGACAGATCACCTGAAGTCAGGAGTTTGAAACCAGCCTGGCCAACATGGCAAAACCTCGTCTTTACTAAAAACACAAAATTAGCCACATGTGGTGGCACGTGCCTGTAATCCCAGCTCCTCAAGAGGCTGAGGCAGAGAACTGCTTGAACCTGGGAGGCAGAGTTTGCAGTGAGCCGAGATCGCGCCACTGCACTCTAGCCTGGGCGCCAGAGTGAGACTCCATCTCAAAAAAAACAAACAAACAACTAGCCGGGCATGGTGGCATACACCTGTAGTCCCAGCTACTCGGGAGGTTGAGGAAGGAGAATTGCTCAAACCCGAGAGGCGGAGGTTGCAGTGAGCTGAGATCGCCCAAGGCACTCTAGCCTAGGCAACAGAGTGAGACTCCACCTCAAAAAAAAAAAAAAAAAAAAGGAATGCCTATTTGTGTACTTCTGGGTTTACAACTGTATGCATGTCTGAATATGTTTGTACATATATTATGTATATGCATATGCTCCATAATTGTCACAGATATGCTAAATAAGGTAGTTGCTGCATGACGGTTAGCTTTTTCACACCCCATAGGCATGGTTGGCTGTGTAACTGCAGCTGCTGTTTGCAGAGCCTGGGTTCCTATATCTGAGCCAGTCTGTATTGTACAATCAGGTGACCACGAATTTTGCTCAGAGAACCCTCAACAACTTTGAGTTTTTCTAAGTTTGGTCAGCTGCAGGTGGAAGCCGAAATACCTGCGGCCTTGATTCTGAACATTCCATGGTGAGGCTGGGGGAGTCTGTCATTTTAACGAGCCCCTCAGGACATGTGATCTGCATTCACTTTTAGGATCTCCAGGACAGTGCACCAATTCCTGATTGCTGACTCTGTCTTTGGTCTCACAGGCCCTGTTGACAGTTTGCCCACATGAGCATGACTATCATGCCTCCCTGTTGTTAGCCACAACGCCATATCCCTGAGCTTGGTGCTGGGTCTTCAGGCTCAGTCTACTCACACTGCCCTGTATTTCCATGCTCTGTTGAGTCGCTGACTTCTGGGACCCTGAGGCCCCAAAAGAAGCTGCAGAAGCAGCAGACAGCACATAATCAGCCCTCCCCACAGGCCCCACTCACAATACAGGACCTGCACTGGAGCCCTAGATCATGGATCTGTTCGAAGGGGAGCAGATCACTTGAGCTCAGGAGTTTGAGACCAGCCTGGGCAACATGGTGAAACCCTGTATTTATTTAAAACCAAAACCAAAGTTGCTTGCTCATGTCCTCTGTACACATTCTTTCTGGATCCTTCCAACATCTTTTGTAAACGCAGGTGTCACTGTTCTGGTTAAAATCCTTCAGTGGCTCCCCATTCTTGGGATCTAGCCAGGATCCCTGCCTGGCCTACTGGCCTTGCTGACCTCTGCAACCTCATCTTCTCCATTCTCTCTCTCTCTCTCTTTAATTCAGTCTCCGTAGAGACTGTCAAAAATTGCCAGTGCCGACTATATTGCAAGTCGACACAACGGGGTATTGGGAAAAGTTTTCAATTAGCAGTAATCACACCTCGGATTAACCTCATTGGCTACGATACTGCCACTGCGCAAAGCTATCTTCTCCATTCTTTACCTGCCCTGACCCCCAACCCCTCCTAACCACTATCTTGCAATTGTCTTACCAGGCCAGGCTCTCTCTTGCTCTGACGGACTCCTCTTTACTCAGAAAACTCCTGCTCATTCTTCAGTTTTCCAAGATCACTTCCCTGACCCCAAGACTAGATTGGGTCCCTTGCTTATTCATGGTTATAGCACGCTGGGCTTCTCTTTACTAATACTTGTCAAAGTTGAAATTCTCCATTTACTTGAGCAATTATGTCACTAATGTCTGTTTGTCCACTCGATGGTAAAGTTCGTCCAAGCAGGGCCCCGAGTGTGCTCTCATTGCCTCTGCAGTACCTAGCAATGTGCCAGGCAGGTATTCACCGGATGGATGGATTACTCGCTCCAGGAAAGAGGGCCCCAACCTGGGTGGGTGTAGAGACCCTGGAAGTCGATCAAAGCAGCTACGTGTGTAAGTCCCCAGAACTGAGGGCATCCTATGCATCTGTGACCCGGGCCCCCCAATGTCGTTCGGGATGAGGCGGTGCCCGGGGAACCCCCAGGGCAAGAAGGACACAGCATAGCTGTAATTGGCACCCAGCTGCCAACTGGAAGGGGGCGCCCAGACTCTGTGCTTAGGGACCCCCCGCCCTCCGGTTTCCCGCAGGGTCGACCGCGAAGGGCCCTTGCAGTCTTGGGTAGACCCAGGGCAGGCGCCACGGGCTGCGGCAATCTGATGAGCCAGGAGCCACTCTGTGCCCGCACAGGCCGCCGCTCCGGGCGAGGGCGCTCCAGGTTGGTCTTCTGGAGCAGTCGTGCGCTGACAGGGTCCCTCTGGCCGGCAGGCGGTGGCGCAGTGCTCGTCGGGAAGGCGGCGGGCTATCCGGTCCTCGGCTGCAGCTGGCACCATGGTCGGTGGCGAGGCGGCCGCCGCAGTGGAGGAGCTGGTCTCGGGGGTGCGGCAGGCGGCCGACTTCGCGGAGCAGTTCCGCTCCTACTCAGAGAGCGAGAAGCAATGGAAGGCCCGCATGGAATTCATCCTGCGCCACCTGCCCGACTACCGCGACCCGCCTGATGGCGGTGGCCGCCTGGACCAGTTGCTGTCCCTCTCCATGGTTTGGGCCAACCACCTCTTCCTGGGCTGCAGGTGCGGACCCCTGCCGGCCGGCTGATCCTGTCCCCTGTCTTCCGATCCTCAAGCCCTCTTCCAGGGCTCAGCCCTGACCGGAATCTCTGCCCCAGACTGAACCCGCGCCCAACCTCCATCCTTATTGGCCGGCCCGAAGGCTGATTCCCACCTAGGAGGCACCTTGGAAAGATCCTTATCCTTGAGCCTCAGTTCTCTCTTTTGGTAAATGGGTAGCTATGATGACTGTAATAATTAAAGGGTGAAGAGCTAAATACATGGCGAGCTAAAAAGTTGCTATTGTTATTTGTATTACTACTATTATTAGCTCAAACCATCACCTTTGCAGGGTGCGTTCCAAGTCTATTAGCCCCTGTCATTCACATGGCAAACGGGCAGAGACAAAAACGGAGATTCCCATTTTACAGGTGAAAAAGCTTAGGGAGGGAAGTGATATACCTGGGGTCATGCAGCTTCTGGCAAGATTGGTGGATTTTAACCACTAATGACAGGATGTAATCTGTATCCTGTGGCTTTTTCTACTCGTTCCACAGCCCACTGGGTCCTAAGTAGGAACCAGCTTCACCTCTCTGCTTTCCCTCTTATGAAAATGGCCGATGCCTTTTTGACAAGGTCCCAAAGCCCATTGCATCCTGTCTGCTGCACCAAAAGGACAGAGGCCCACTTCTGAAGTGCCTGATAAGGCATTCCCTTCACCCCTCCATGAAGAAGGTGGCAAATCTTGAGGTTTCCTATTAGCTTCATTTTTCCTGAAATTGTGTTAGGAAAATAGGGTGACTTGGCTTGATCTTGGTTTCTATACCTATTATGGCTGCCTGACTCTGATCACTTGGCCCCTCCAGGCCTAAGCCACTTGGTCTTGCTTTACATTTTGAGGTTTATTAGAACAATATAATATGTAGAGAAGCAATACCAGAGGTACTTATCATTTTTTCCTGCCTTCTAGGTTCTCCTTGGAAATCCTGGTTTACAGGATCTATGGTTAGGCAAATATCAGAGAATTGGGCAAATAAATAATGTCTTTGTTAGACTAACATTCCATGTATTTAAAAAATAAAAATACTTTTGCCCTCATCCTGTATCTGAGAATATGTATTGCTGGATGTACAGTGCCTCTGTTCTTGTAAATCTTGAAACATCTGCTCTACTGGCATTCCTAAAGTCCACTTCTGTATCTACAAGCAAGGAGTGTTCACGGGGCCAGGTGTGGTGGCTCACACCTGTAATTCCAGCACTTTGGGAAGCTGAAGTGGGAGGATCAGTTGAGGTCAGGAGTCCAGCCTGGCCAACATGGTGAAACCCTGTCTCTACTAAAAATACAAAAATTAGCCAGGCATGTTGGCAGGTGCCTGCAATCCCAGCCACTCAGGAGGCTAAAGCAGGAGAATTGCTTGAACCTGGGAGGTGGAGGTTGCAGTGAGCTGAGATTGCGCCACTGCACTCCAGCATGGGCAACAGAGCAAGCCTCCAGCTCAAAAAAACAAAAAAGAAATGTTCATTAACCTTGTGCTGAACACGTATAGGTTTGCCCTGCAGTATCAGATCAGTTCTCCGAAAGTCGATTCTGTGGTTGAGCAACCTGCAATTTGTTGTTAATCCACAGTGACAATTCTTCCAAGGTTTTTACCTTACTACTTTTTATTATGCAGTTACAATAAAGACCTTTTAGACAAGGTGATGGAAATGGCTGATGGGATTGAAGTGGAAGACCTGCCACAATTTACTACCAGAAGTGAATTAATGAAAAAGGTAAATCGGATTTCCAAGTGCATGTGATGAAATGGTGTAGAGTTAACAGTCCCTGCTTTGATGACACTATATTAGAGTATATTGTTTTTGAATGCTCTTGTTTACTACCCCAAAGATCTATACCCTTTCATTTTCCCATAATTGGTATAAGCCTTTTCATAACTAGTTAACAACTCATGGTGATAAATTATGCATTGTTGATGAGGTGACACATAAACTTAGCCTCTTCCAGTTGTTTAGGAACAATATTTTGAGATTTTTGCTTGATGTTTAAAAAACTGTTGGCTAGAATACTGAAGTTTCTTACCTGTTAAAAAATCTTGTTGGTAATACAGTGACTAACTCATCCTTACCCAGGTGTGAGTGTTGAGCTGACTTGTTTGGCTTCTCTGATTTGCTGATAGGAATGTGGTTGGAGCAATGTCAATACCATAGCTGTTCTCTATCCTGTGGGGTCTGATCTCAGGTGATGGGCTTTTTACAGCGAGTCTTGCCTGGAGTCTTGAATCTGGACCCTGGAGCTGGGGCTATAGAGGGTGTGGCACAAAGAACCTCTGAGTATGGGACTGGGCATCCCAGCTATTAATACTTTTCAGAATCACCCCCAGTACGTGCTTATTTCACATTTGTCTGCTCAGACAGCAGAATTAATTGCTCACTTATCTTCCAGAGTTCCTTTGGCATTTTATCCAGGCTTCTTTTAAAGCAGTTGTGACCTTGAGGGACGAGATGGTGTCTAAAGTTTTATTTAGTCTTCAGAACGCCCAAACCTAGTATAGTTACATCCCAGAGAAGGTACTCAGAAACTACTGAGAAAATCGACTGAAGCAATAGAGTAAAAAGCTGCTGGCCCCTTTTCAGTTCTGCCCTTAGAAACATAGGTAAGCTCCTCTCTCCACATTTAGATCTTGTCTTGGGAGGTGAGGCACATATAGAGGTCTTCTGTCAAATCCTCAGTTGCTCAGAAAGTATTTCAGCCCCAAATAGCACATCCCACTTGATTTTCAGGATGGTTTGTTTTTCTTAAAAAAGTATTCTTCTAGTTTTAATCTGAACCTGGGGAAAAGCTTCAGGTTGGTTTTCGAGATGCTATTATGTTTTTAAAATCAGCTGTTAACACAGTACTCCTGAAAAATAAGTAAAATCAGCTGTTAAAATGGGGTTACTTTTTGGCCAGGGAGCAATGTGAATTGGGAGTTCGTGGCTTTTTGGATCTTCTCATGTAATACTTAAAAAAATAACTGGGCAGTCCTTGGGTGTCCTAGTGAGGTTCTTGGGGCCCAGCCAGAGAGAGGCTAGATAGTTTCTGGCTACTGGAGTATACCTCATGGAGCTGGAGCAGGAGCAGAGGTAAGCAGGGAATGGGGTAAGCCTTTATTTTTAGTTTATTTTTTAGACAAAGTCACACTTTGTCGCTGAGGCTGGAGTACAATGGCACAATCTCAGCTTACTGCTCCCTCTGCCTCCCAGGTTCAAGCGATTCTCCTGTCTCAACCTTTCTAGTAGCTGGGATTACAGCCGTATACCACCACACACAGCTAATTTTTGTATTTTTAGTAGAGATGGGGTTTTGCCATGTTGTCCAGCTGGTCTTGAACTCCTGTCCTCAAGTTATCTGCCCACCTCAGCCTCCCAAACTGCTAGGATTACAGGCGTGAGCCACTGTACTCAGTTAAGCCTTTATTTTTTAACTGCTGGTGGTAGATTCTTTAAGTACTTTTTGTTCCTAAGGGGTTTTCTGATTTTCTTACATCAGTTCTACATTGTACTTCTCTGTCTTGTATGTTTTCTGTTTCACCCCAGGTAGCGGAACTCTTTCCAGTCATGCTGGGTATAAGCGATGAGAACACTTAATGACATTTGGTCTGTAGACCCCAATGGGAGACTAAGGAGGTTTGGCACGTCCCGAACATTATTGTAGACCAGTGTGAAGAGAGTGTGTGTGTGTGTGTGTGTGTGTGTGTGTGTTAGGAAGGGTATTTCTGAAACATCCTAAATGGGTCTTATATCTCAAAAATGTGCATAGCCCCTGCCCTGGGATGTTCATTTTTGACACTGTCACTGCACAGTGTGAGCCTACAGAAAAAAGTCCTCGGGCATGAAATTACCATCTTGAAATCAGTGCCGCCATCTTACTTATCATTAGCAGTTAGCTACATGGAAGAACCATATATAGAGGCCATACTTCTACAGCATATTTGAATTGTGTGTTGCAACTTCCTTCAAATAAAACTTATGTTTTTTTAAGTAACCAGGTTTAATTTTAGTCTATTGATGCCACTGTAAGTGAAATTCGGCTGATCCTGAAAAGTGAGATACTTAGAAGGTGCATAGAGTTTTGCCAGTTTTGTTTTGAGACAGACTAACTGCAGCCGTGACCTCCCGAGCTCAAGTGATCCTTGTACCTCAGCCTCCCTAGTAGCTGGGATTACAGGCCTGTGCCACCACGCTTGGCTAATTATTGTAGAGACCGTGTTTCACTGTGTTCCCCAGGCTGGTCTCAAACTCCTGGGCTCAAATGATCTACCTGCCTCAGCCTCCCAAAGTGCTGGGATTACAGGCATGAGTCACTGTGCCATGTTGAGTCTTTTAAGACTCTTCTAGATAAGCCAATTCTGAGAACAAGTCATCTGAGCTATGTACCATGACCAATTTGTGTGGTATTAAAGGCTGTCTCCTTTCCATTGAAGGCCACTGGAAAGACAGCCCTGAGGACTTTGCAGCAGTTTTGTCCTTTGCCTGCAGTTTTTGCACACATGATAGAGCAGGTTGCTAAACATTAGGCAACATTGCCAGCCCATAGACAGACTCCTGATGTCAAGCTGTACACCTGAAAGCATCTGTTGTTGCTCTGCCCAGAACTGATCTTTAGCTCTAAAATTAAAATTTAGTTGGGTTTTGAAGCTAGCTACCAAATGGAAATAAATCGCCTGGCATTGTTGGTATCTCAGGACAGACAGCAATGATGACTGGGAGACATAAGCTCTTTAAGATTTTTTTTTTTTTGAGATGGAGTTTCACTCTTGTTGCATAGGCTGGAGGGCAATGGTGCGATCTTGGCTCATCGCAACCCCCACCTCCCGGGTTCAAGTGATTCTCCTGCCTCAGCCTCCACGTAGCTGTTATTACAGGCATGTGCCACCATACCCAGCTAATTTTGTATTTTTAGTAGAGACGGGCTTCACCATATTGGTCAGACTGGTCTCAAACTCCTGACCTCAGGTGATCCGCCCACCTTCAGCCTCCCAAAGTGCTGGGATTACAGGTGTGAGCCACTGTGTCCAGCCGCTCTTTAAGATTTTAAAAATACTTTATGGCTATTCTGCAGCTTTGAGGCAAGTACATCTCTGCAATCTGTCCAGCTCTTTTTTTAAGTCTGAGAAAAGAAATGAGCATTGGTTTCTGACAGGTGGGATTTGTTGGACAGTTGCAGTATATGATTTTTTTTTCTTGTGAAAGAGGGGGATTCAAACACACATATATTGAGTAAACAATCTTGATTAACCGCCATCCTAGGCTCCTGCCAGCAGCCTTTGTGGTTGCTCAGCTTACCTATTAATGAGCGATAATTAACGAAAAGCAGCAGCTGACTCAGGAAGAGTGTCATTGCTATGATTGTCAGAGTTAATATTTCCAAGGAATGTTTTAACCAAGAAGAAAGAGGAGTGATTGACTAGGAAGCTATCATTATTGACTCAAAGAAAGAAGCTGTCAACATAATTACTTGGTCCATTTTTTTCTGAGAACATTTTTATCCCAAAAGGAAAAATGGCATTATGAAAAGTGACTCAAATTTGAAAGACCAGGTGCAGTGGCTCATGCCTGTAATCCCAGCACTTTGTAAGGCTGAAGTGGGAGGATCACTTGATGCTAGGAGTTCGAGACCAGCCTGGCTAAATGGCAAAACCTTGTCTACTAAAAATACAAAAATTAGGTGGGCGTGGTGATATGTGCCTGTAGTTCCAGCTACTCTTGAGGCTGAGGCAGGAGAATTGCGTGAGCCTGGAAGGAGGAGGTTGCAGTGAGCTGAGATAACACCAGTGTGCTCCAGCCTGGGCGACAGAGTAAGACTCTGTCTCACACACACACACACACACAAAGAAATTTGAAGGAAAAGTTAGAAAAACAAGTGTGCCTGCATTTCAAGAAGCTATCTTTTATGCATTGTGTCATCTTGGTAAGCTCTGAGGTACTAGAACTGCTGCTCCCTTGGTGGAAGCACCTGTGACTGTGATTCTAAGATGGTGCAAATGTTGGTGAGTATTAAAAAAATCAGCCTGGCCCTGTGGCTCCGCCTGTAATCCCAGCACTTTGGGAAGCGGAGGTGGGAGGATTGCTTGAGCCCAGGAATTCCAGACCAACCTGGGCAGTATAGTGAGACTTGTCTCCACAAAAAATAAAAACTAGCTGGGCATGGTGGCACATGCCTGTGGTCCCAGCTACTGGAGAGGCTGAGGTGGGAGGATCACTTAAGCCTGGGAGGTTGAGGCTTCAGTGAGCCATGATCGCACCACTGCACTCCAGCTTGGGTGACAGAGTGAGACCCCGTCTCAAAGAGAAGTTAAAAAAGGCTGGGCGCGGTGGCTCAAGCCTGTAATCCCAGTACTTTGGGAGGCCGAGGCGGGTGGATCACGAGGTCAAGAGATCGAGACCATCCTGGTCAACATGGTGAAACCCCGTCTCTACTAAAACTACAAAAAATCAGCTGGGCATGGTGGCACGTGCCTGTAATCCCAGCTACTCAGGAGGCTGAGGCAGGAGAATTGCCTGAACCCAGGAGGCGGAGGTTGCGGTGAGCCGAGATTGTGCCACTGCACTCCAGCCTGGGTAACATGAGCGAAACTCCGTCTCAAAAAATAAAAAGAAAAGTTAAAAAAAAAATCAGCCTGTCAGATTAGTTAAGTCAGAGGTTTTGTTGTACCCCAAGAGAAACACTTATTGGAGCTACTTGTTTTTTACTCTTTATCCACTAGAAATAGAAGCCAGGAAAGGTGTGTCTGATCCCATGGACCAGTCTTGTCTGGAGCTCATGAGTCAGTAGTGGATCACCTGCAAACACCTGTAGAAAAGACGGTATCACAGCAGCCCAGACCAGCAGAAGCAGCCCAGACCAGCACACAGCTGCCATAGCCTTGGTCTGTCCTATCGTTTAAGAGATTGCTTAGGGGATTTTTTTTCTCTTTGGACTTAAGATGGTTTCTTGAGGTAATACTGCATTCTCCTAAATGGAGAAAGTCATAATTTGCTTTTGCTGAGGAATTTTGTTTTTTCATCTTAAAAAGACTGGGGCCAGGCATGGTGGGCCACGCCTGTAATACCAACACTTTGGGAGGCTGAGGCGGATGAAATTGTGAGGTCAGGAGTTCAAGACCAGCCTAGCCAAGATGGTGAAACTCCATCTCTACTAAAAACTACAAAAATTAGCTGGGTATAGTGACAGGGTCCTGTAATCCCAGCTACCTGGGAGGCTGAGGCAGGAAAATCAGTTGAACCTGGGCAGCAGAGGTTGCAGTGAGCCGAGATCGCTCTACTGCGCTCCAGCCTGGGCGACAGAGTGAGACTCCGTCTCAAAAAAGAAAAAAAAGACTGACTGGTCTAACTAGGAAATAGGTCATACCTTGAAATCTCTGATTACTAAAAAGACTCTCAGATTGATTCACTTACATTGCTAAATGTTAAGGAAATTCATTCAATACAAGGTGACAGCCAAAGTGATTTCTTCACACCCTGCTTAAAAGTTGTCTAAAGCCAAGTTTAAATTTACCAAAGGTGCTAGAGAGTACCCAGAAAGAATAACTCTGCTTCATTTCACCACTATTTGAAGACATGCTTTTACAGTTTCTAATAGTGTGAAATCCAGAAATATATAACCTTCACATCTAAATATCCTGACTCAATGTGAAATGTTGTGAATTACTACCTGAATCTGACTGCTTTTAATTTAGAACAATAAGTGTTTGTGTGACTCTGCTTTTAGAATCTTTCACTGGAAAGCATGCCAGGAAAAGTTGTATTTTAAGCATTTCCATTATCACTTTAAATTGTGAACATTTATAGATTGCAAGTGACAAGACAGGAAAATCAAGTTCTGGCTTCCAAATGGATGGTGTGGTCAATGTTTTGCTGAATTTTCTGTATGTTGTAAAATATTAATAATTTCTGAGTATACTTACTGTCTGGATAGTACATAAATATTACATCACTGCCATATTTTAATTTATGAAGATGAATTTGATTCACTGGACTACATGGTTATATAACCTCTTTTCTTCTTTTCCCAGCATCAAAGCTAAGCCAGAAGATTTATCACATTTCCATCATCAGCTACAGGATTAGAAAGGAGGCTGGGATGAATGTGACATAGACCACAGCAGCTCTCTTAAGACTCCTGGTATTACCAACATAAAGAGGGAGGTGGAATGAGAAGGACTCTGTCTAGATTGGCTTTTTTAACATTCTCATTTTTCCAGTAGTTATCACTGTAAAAGTATGCATGAATATTTATGTATTTATAAATCATGCACTCTAAGATGACTTCATCAACATTGTAAAAGCCCTCTTTTCTATTTCCAGTTTTGGTTTTTTTTTTTTTTTCTTACCGACAAGGTCTCATTCTGTTGCCCTGGCAGGAATACAAAGGTGCAGTTTTGGCTCATTGCAGCCTTGAACTCCTGGGCCCCTACTTTCAGTTTTTTTCTTTTTCTTTTTTTCTTTTTTGAGATGGAGTCTTGCTCTGTCGCCCAGGCTGGAGTGCAGTGGTGCGATATGTTTTAAATTTTTAAATGTCAGAATTTTTGTTTAAAATGCCTTTTGGGGCTGGGCGCAGTGGCTTATGCTTGTAATAATCCCAGCACTTTGGGAGGCTGAGGTAGGCAGATCACCTGAAGTCAGCAGTTTGAGGTAAACTGACAGCCAGCCTGGCCAACACGGGTAAAACCCCACCTCTACTAAAAATACAAAAGAAAAATTAGCTGGGGCTGGTGGCAGCCGTCTGCAATCCCAGCTACCTGGGAGGCTGAGGCAGGAGAATTGCTTGAACCTGGGAGGCGGAGGTTGCAGTGAGCGAAGATCAGCCTGGGCGACAAAAGTGAAACATTGTCTCAAAGAAAGAAACCTAATAAAATGCCTTTTTGTGGTTGATGTAATAATGGCAGGTAATGAATTTTATAGTTTGGATTTTTCAGCAATGTATCTTTAAATGTGATTCTGTTTTATGGCCTTTTTCTTCCCCCACCAAGGCAAATCAGATCCTTTAATTCCTTATTTCCACTTGAAATTTATACCATACCTATACCCAACTACCATACATACTTATCTTTTTTTAAGAAATAAGAATCAAATTATAGACTTGAAGTACCCACCAGCTCATGGAAAGAGACAGCCTACCAAAATGCATCTGGCCTTAGTTTAAAATGCATTGACACAGGAGTCCAGGGTTTTGTCCTGTCAGCCAGTTGATTTGTAAATTCTCTGTCTCCCAGGCTGCTATTCTGAAGGAAGCCTGAGGTTTGGGTCTTCTAGACTTGAGGAACCACCTTGCATATAGCCTCTTAAGAAATACTTGTTGCAGGCTGGGCATGGCACCTCACGCCTGTAATCCCAGCACTTTGGGAGGCTGAGGCAGGTGGATTACCTGAGGTCAGGAGTTCAAGACCAGCCTGGCCAACATGGTGAAATCCTGTTTCTAGTAAAAATACAAAAATTAGCCAGGCGTGGTGACAGGTGCCTGTAATCCCAGCTACTTGGGAGGCTGAGGCAGGAGAATCGTTTGAACCCGGGAGGGAGAGGTTGCAGTAAGCTGAGATCACACCATTGCACTCCAGCCTGGGAAACAAGAGTGAGACTTCTTCTCAAAAAAAAAAAAAAAAGAAAAAAACCCCATACTTGTTGTAGTCCTGCTTTGCTCTGAAATTTTGGTGTTAATGTTCCTCAACTAAGTGTCTGTTCTGTACTCCCTCTCCTCTTTCTTGTTTAGTCCCTGCCATTAAGTAGATAGGTCTAGGCATAAATACTGGGAAAGGGGCTTCATTTGGGGGGCAGTAGTGTAAGTTTATCACAGGTGGGGTCACTCAACAGTGGTAGGCACTGTGGTTGGTACTAGTGATAGTGGCAAATAAGACATTGGACCCTGCCTTAATCTACTGGTGAACGCAGGTAATTAACAACCAGAGGTGCTGAAAAGGAGAGCTTGTTGGAGAAGCATGGTGTCTGGGGACAGAGAAGTGGGACAGGACTCTTGCCCACTGCTCGAGAGGAAGGCCAGGCAACACAGCTTGGATGGGCCACATCTTTGGGAGGCTTCTAGCTGCAGTGTCCCTAGTGACCATGAAGGGTGGACTGAGTGAAGAAGTCAGGATCTAGGATCTATAATCTGAAGACAAGCCAATTCTCTCCTGGTCCTTACCTGGAAAATGGAAATCACAGAAATATCTACCACAGAGAGCTAGGGCAAGGATTAGGTAGTAAATGTTAGAGGGCCAAGCACAATGCTTGTGAGCCTCTTCTTTTCCTCAAATGTAGCCTAGATTTTTTTTTTTCAGACGGAGTCTTGCTCCGTCACCCAGGCTGGTGTGCAGTGATGCAATCCTGACTCACTGCAACCTCCATCTCCCAGGTTCAAGCGATTCTCCTGCCTCAGCCTCACAAGTACCTGGGAATACTGGTGCCCGCCATTACGCCTAGCTAATTTTTTTATTTTTTAGTAGAGACAGGGTTTTAGAACCATGTTGGCCAGGCTGGTCTCGAACTCCTGACCTTGTGATTCACCCGCCTCGGCCTCCCAAAGTGCTGGGATTGCAAGCGTGGGCCACTGCTCCCGGCCTTTTTTCTATTCTGATTATTCGTACAAATTTGGGAGGCCTAAAAAAATTAAAGCATGGCCAGGCACGGTGTCTGCCACCTGTAATCCCAGCACTTCGGGAATCTGAAGCGAGTGGACCATGAGGTCAGGAGTTCGAGACCAACCTGACCAACGTGGCGAAACCCCATCTCTATTAAAAATACAAAAATTAGCTGGGTGTGGTGGCACACGCCTGTAATCCCAGCTACTCTGGAGGCTGAGGCAGGAGAATTGCTTGAACCCAGGAGGCAGAGGTTGCAGTGAGCTGAGATTGTACCATTGCACTCCAGCCTGGGTGACAAGGGCAAGACTCCATCTCAAAAAAAAAAAATTAAATTACAAAATGGGTAAAAGTCAGTGTGACTATTCACTTTGAAAATGCATTTTCCTACAGTCTGAGTAGGAAGCTATGAAAAAAAAGAAGAAAATACATTTTTCATAGGTTTCTCATCATGAATTCCATTTCTTTTTTTTTTTTTTTTTTTTTTTTGAGACGGAGTTTTGGTCTTGTTACCCAGGCTGGAGTGCAATGGCACAATCTCGGCTCACCGCAACCTCCGCCTCCTGGGTTCAGGCAATTCTCCTGCCTCAGCCTCCTGAGTAGCTGGGATTACAGGCACGTGCCACCATGCCCAGCTAATTTTTTGTAGTTTTAGTAGAGACGGGGTTTCACCATGTTGACCAGGATGGTCTTGATCTCTTGACCTCGTCGTGATCCACCCACCTCGGCCTCCCAAAGTGCTGGGATTATAGGCTTGAGCCACCGCGCCCAGCCTGAATTCCATTTCTTTATATGATACAATGCCCTGATAAAATAATAATAGCCTTTCAGTAATGCATCCATTGCATAAAGCAAGTTTAAATTGTGGAGTAATTTCCCCTCAATAGCTTTTATTTATTTTTGGTTTTTTTCAGAGCTAGGGTCTCTCTGTCACCTAGGCTGGAGTACATGGCGCAATCATAGCTCACTGCAGCCTCAAACTCCTGGCCTCAAGCTATCCTCCTGTTTCAGCCTCCCAAAGTGCTAAGAATACAGGCAGGAGCTACTAAGCCTGGCCTCCTTTAGTTTGTTTTTGAAGACTTCTCTAGTGAATTACAATCAAGTTTTATTTCAATTTTCTAATAAGTTTTCTACCATTGTTTCTTCACTTAAACTGCCTGTTTTTCTTCTTGTCTTTTACAACCTCTGTGGCCATCTCACATTTAAAATTAACCAGTATTTTAGAATTTCATCCTTTATGTATTTCTGGAATAGAAAGTGGCAAAGAAATCTAAATGTCTACATTTCAGCAATCCTTGTGGTATAGGTAAAATGGCCCACTGTTAGCCTTGAAACAGGACCACATATCACATAGAAGTTCATATACAGAGTCTTACTGAAGACTTGGCGTGAAGATAGAGTGATATCATAGGAAGGGACAAGTAGTAAATACGAGAACTTTTTTTTTTTTTTAAATCCAAACTATACCTAGAAAACTGCTTTCTGAAAGATTCCTTAGAGTCTGTGGACCACCTGATCAATCCTCTGCCTTATCAGAGGTAAGGATTCTGTCTGAACTCAGGATCCATTTGGATCAGTGGCCTACGTATAGACGCTAAGAGGAATCCCGTTAACTGTCACTGCCCATCCTCTGATGCTTTGCAGTCTGTAATTAAATACTATTCCATCTAAAATATGAGAATTGTGTTACCCTAAATGTCAGATAATTTGGTGTTTCCTAGTTCTCCAGCTCTAAAGAATCTCTGCTGGGTATCCCCTTATGTCTGGAAGGAGACTGTCAGCTTCTGGTATCTGAGACATGTGTGCCCTATAACATCTAGTTGTGGCTGTTACTCTTGACTAGCTTAGGGATGCCTTTCCGTAGGAATAAGAGTAAACACAGATCTTCAGAGGCAAGAGTTTTAGAACTTATTAAAGACTTTTGGTCATATGGAAACTTCATTCAACAAATATTGAGTGCACACATAAAAAAAATCTCTACTGTCATTGGGTATGTGTATCTGTGTGTGTGTGTGTGTGTATGTGTATATATATATTATACATATATAAAATATAGATATATACAAAAATATATAGCCAGGCGCGGTGGCTCAAGCCTGTAATCCCAGCACTTTGGGAGGCTGAGGCGGGTGGATCACGAGGTCAAGAGATCGAGACCATCCTGGTCAACATGGTGAAACCCCGTCTCTACCAAAACTACAAAAAATTAGCTGGGCATGGTGGCGCGTGCCTGTAGTCCCAGCTACTCAGGAGGCTGAGGCAGGAGAATTGCCTGAACCCAGGAGGCGGAGGTTGCGGTGAGCCGAGATCGTGCCATTGCACTCCAGCCTGGGTAACAAGAGCGAAACTCCG